CGAGACCATCCTGGCTAACACGGTGAAACCCCGTCTCTACTAAAAAAATACAAAAAACTAGCCGGGCGAGGTGGCGGGCGCCTGTAGTCCCAGCTACTCGGGAGGCTGAGGCAGGAGAATGGCGTAAACCCGGGAGGCGGAGCTTGCAGTGAGCTGAGATCCGGCCACTGCACTCCAGCCCGGGCGACAGAGCAAGACTCCGTCTCAAAAAAACAAACAAACAAAAAAAAAAACTGGTGCTATTCAAATTACACTGAAAATGCTGTAATATGTCAGAAAATATTTTTTTTTCTTAAATATTTAAGGGCAAAAAGATTTTTTTTTTTGCTTCTAAAAATACTAGCTTCTAAAAACACTAGCTTCTCCATAAGGAATGTGTATGCCAATACTTTTCTCTTTATTAAGTCTATATTTAAATTCTTGTATTCAATTTTTTAGAAGTTCCATAAGATGGAACTTGGAAGTAAAAGTAGCAAACTAGGCCAGGCACAGTGGCTCATATCTGTAATCCCAGCACTTTCGGGAGGCCAAGGTGGGCGGATCACTTGAGGTCAGGAGTTCAAGACCAGCCTGGCCAACACAGCAAAACCCTGACTCTACTAAACATACAAAAATTAGCTGGGCATGGCAGTGTGTGCCTGTAATTCCAGCTACTCAGGAGGTTGATGCAGGAGAATCACTTGAACCCAGTAGGTAGAGGCTGCAGTGAGCCAAGATGGCACCACTGCACTCCAGCCTGGGTGACAGAGCAAGACTCTGTCTCAAAAAAGAAAAAAAAAAAAAAGCAAACTAAAAATAAAATCTAAGCTGAATATCTATTTTTGAAAGGTACATTTTCCACTCCATGAACACAGGCATTACACTGCACAGGCAGTCAACAGTAAGCACACACTCATCTGAAATCACCTCCTCTCAGCTGACATAAATATCACTGAATTCTGAACAACATGGAGACAGCCCACAGGGTCAGAGACTCTTACCAGAGGAACCAGCCTGGTTGGGGTTTGGATTTGGCTTCGGCTTGGGTGGGTTCGGTGGTGGTGGGTCGTCTGTTTGTGAAAGATGAGAGTTGCAATTATCAGTGCCTTGCAGTAAAGAAAATGAAACATCCGTTTACATAGACGGTTCCCTCCACAGAAATTGGACCTTGGCCTTTGTCCTGGTGGGGATACCCATACACACAGTCTCCTGCCAATTTCCTCCCATCAACTTTGAGCCACGGTTCTGAATTTCAAGTATGTTCAATAAAAATTAAAGCGGGTATCCACACCAGCTGCAGAATTTCTGGGGCCAAAATAAAAAGGTGGGACCCATTTTTCAAATTCTGTTAAGTATTCGAAGATGGCGACACCAGAACAGGAAACCAGTATGGTGCCCATGTCAAACCAACATGCCATGGGGTCCCATGCCACCGCACAGGTCACATGCTCGTGAGGCCAGCCCTGGCCAGGGTAGGCACACGTGTCTCATGTCTTTCCAAAGGCTGTAACAGTTTTAAAATAAAAGCACATGTACTGGTTGTAAAGAAAAACCCAATGACAACAGCAAGAACAAACCAACATACCTCTTCCCTAGGTTTCCACTGTGAAAGCTGACTCCCTTTATAATTTAAATGGGAGAATTCTCTCTGAAATGATCATAATTGGGTGATAATAAGCAGGCCAGCAGCAGAAGAGATTAACGGATAATACTCACCATTTCCTCCATCAACAACAGCATCTCCTAAGTCAAAGTCATCCCCTAAAAGAGGGAAAAAAGCAGTTAATACCAAATTTCAGAGAGAAACAAGGAAGGAATGATCGTGAACAGATCGAAAAAACACCACAGCCCCACATTCCTGAATACTTTTCTGAATATCAGCTTGACCAGGATCTTAAGTGAATTCCTGACCATTTTTACATCACTATTCTCTCCGACTAAAAGAGTAAAAAACAAAAAGAGACACAGAGAGACAAAGAGCTAGGAGAGAAGCTCTCAGAGGAGGGGCAGGGGAGAGAGAGACAGAAATAAAGTAATTTATAAATGAATTGTGTTGCCTGGACCAAGGTGAAATTCTAATTCCGCCTGCACATGATTTTCTCCTGTTGACTCCCCATCCCATCACCCTCTCCTCCCAGGTCCCTAACAACTTTTGAAAGGCAGACCCTAAGAGAAGAGGACAGATGACTGTGATCAGATTTAGGCTAGAGGGTGTCTAAAATGTGGCTCTGGCAACCCACATGTGCTCTGCAATGGACGTGACAATTCACCATGGCCTCAGATCTTGTCTTCTAGTAGGAAGAATGATTTTGAATACCCAACTAAGATGGAGGAATGGTTGCTGGCATCCACCCAACAGCACATACTGAGCCATCCTGAGTCACGTATGGGAATTTCCAGTCCCTTCCTCAAGGAGACTGTAATAGTACAAATCCAGACGTTCAACACCTACTCATTGGGTGCTGTCTGCACGATTGCATAGTTCAAGGATCTGGGGACACGGGGTCCCTTTGCTCATGAGCTGACACTCTAGACAGGAAGCAATAATGAAGTGGAGCTATTAATGTTTTATATTAGAAAACTCAGAAGTGCTAAGACAAGACAGTGATGCCGTAAGTTTGGGCATCATTTTTACTCTGTTTATCCACCAGTGGGGTTGACCCTTGGGCAATTCCATCATGTGGCCCTTGTTTCTGACTTTTGTTTGAAAGAACAGCATTGAGAACAAATGAGGTGTGTGCCCACAAGTTGAGAGATGAGGTGGGGGAGGTCTCAGCACCAAATGCTTTCTCTCCCAGGAAGTGGAAATCTAAAGACAAAGGCCAGGTGTGGTGGCTCACGCCTATAATCCCGGCACTTTGGAGGCCAATTGCCTGAAGTCAGGAGTTCGACACCAGCCTGGCCAACATAGCGAAACCTCATCTTGACTAAAAATACAACAATTAGCCAGGTGTGGTGGCTGGTGCCTGCAGTCCCAGCTACTGAGGCAGCTGAGGCAGGAGAATCACTCGAACCCGGGAGACGGAGGTTGCAGTGAGCCAAGATCACACTATTGCACTCCAGCCTGGGAGACAAGAATGAAAGAATGAGATGCCATCTCAAAAAAAAAAAAGGGGGGGGAGATAATCTAAAGACAGAGTAACTCAGATCCTTAGAATAAAAGCACCCAGAGATGTTGTCCCAATGACCCCAAAATATTTCACATCAGCAACCATTCTCTCCCTGGAATCACCAGATGCAATGTCCACATCTTAACACAATTCCAGCATTAACCAGACTCCACCCGGAGCACTCCAATCACTTCTCTCTTCTTTCTAGTTGCCTAAGTCCCGTCCTGCTGTGAGAGAAAATGATTTGTTCTTTGTCTTTGCATTCTAGGAACACGTCCTTCTCACCAGCACTGGGCTTCTTGGGGGTTGCAGTGGGTTTCTTGTCTTCTTTCTCTAAAGAGACAAGACATTTTAGTCAGTCAAAGTTGCGGCTGGGAAAACAAGTGTCAACTCTTTTGTGGTTAAGGCTGTTTCATTTTCTTGGAAACAGTTGTAGAATGTTTTTAGCATTGTTTTTCCTCTCCAGCCCAAGTGAGCTGAGCTTCACAGGATGACTCTTGAGCCCAGAAGACAGGCACAGAGGCTGCTACCAGCCATGGTTTCCACAGAGACCAGGGGCCCCTCCTCCCCTTTTTTTTTGAGATCAAGTCTTGCTCTGTCACCCAGGCTGTAGTGCAATGGTGTGGTCTCCACTCACCGAAACCTCTGCCTCCTGGGTTCAAGCAATTCTCCCGCCTCAGCCTCCCGAGTAGCTGGGTTTACAGGCACATGCCATCACTTCCGGCTAATTTTTAGTATTTTTACTAGAGATGGGGTTTCACCATTTTGGCCAGGCTGGTCTCGAACTCCTGACCTCAGGTGATCCACCCACCTCAGCCTCCCAAAGTGCTGGGATGACAGGTGTGAACCACCGCACGCCCAGCCCTTCTCCACTTCTTGACATTAAATGGGACTGTGACCGAGATGTAAGCCAGGAAGGCAGGAGAATGGCAAAGCTAGGAGAAAAACTGCCCTTTCAGGGCCCAAGATCTATGCATGAGAAGGAGACACCGGATTGGTGGTTGAAAGGCTGTTCACATTTCTCATATGAAACACACTTTTGGTTCCGTCAGGCCTCTGCCTAGGCTGCCCCCTCTGGGAATGGAAGTCAATCAGGCAAATCAGGTGGAGGTTTTAAGACTAAGGGCACCTCCCACTGCAGTGAACACCTGTTCCCAAGGGCCAAGAAGGGGTAGGTGATCAGGAAGGAGATGATCCCCATTAGCACTGTTTCTCTCAAACCATCGGCAATGCACCACAGGACATAAAATTAAAAGCTGGCCACGTGCAGTGGCTCGCGTCTGCAATCCTCTCACACCTCAGCACTTTGGGAGGCTGAGGTGGGAGGACTGCTTGAGCTCACATGGTCAAGGCTGCAGTGAGCCAAGATCCCACCACGGCACTCCAACCTGAGCAACGTAGTGAGACCCCGTGTTGCTTACTGTACCAGGTGAGGTGGCACATGCCTGTAGTCCCAGCTACTCAGGAGGCTGAGGTGGGAGAACTGCTTGAGCCCAGACGGTCAAGGCTGCAGTGAGCCAAGATCCCAACACTGCACTCCAACCTGAGCAACACAGTGAGACAGTGTCTCAAAAAAAAAAAAAGTAAAACATAAAAAAGTGAAGAGGGTGGCCAGGCTCAGTGGCTCATGCCTGTAATCCCAGCACTTTGG